ACATGTATACACTAGGATCTCGTCTACACCAGGATCCGCTTTCTTATGCAAGCGTCAGTGCAGGGCCGGAAAAAGCGTCGGTGTATAGACTTTGTTTCTTACCCAGATGATGTTCCGTAGATTTGTGGATCACTTTGCACGTTGTCCGTATATTCGGCGAAAGAACATCAACTTTGGAGTCAATCAACTCTGTAGTCGATCCCCTACTCGAGGGCTGGGAAGCCGCCTCGGAGTAGACGAAGACCACGACAGCCTCGAAACTCGAGTCTGGCCCCCCTCTGCCCTCGCCTCCGCTGGCCCTCCTCCCATCGGCACTTCTGCTCTCCTGTGCTCGGCTTCTGGCCGCCTTCCCACCCGCTGGCCTCCTCCCCCAGTTCGCCTTGTCCTTCTCCTCCTCCTCCTTCTCCTCCTCCTCCTCCTCCTTCTCCCCCTCCTCCCCCTCCCCCTCCTCCTCCTCCTCCTTCTCCTCCTCTTTCCGTAGCCATTGGCTCAAGTTGCCATATCCTCAAGGCAGCTGGCCAGGTCAGGGCAGGGCTGCTCCCGACTCGGCCCGCGACACAAGGGTCGGGGTTTGACCGTTTTCGCGCACTGGCATTTTGCCACCTGATTTCTCTCTCCAGTTTCTTGTCTCGCTCCCTGGCAGTGCAATGGCCGCCGCCGAGGTATCCAACGCTCAGTTGCTCCAGGTTCTCGAAGGAATGAGCGGCGGCATGAACGCCATGAGGGACGACATCAAAGATGTCAAAGAGCGTCTCGCCGTTGCAGAAGGACTTGAGGAAAATATTTCCGATCTCGAGCTCGCCATGGGGGGTAAGTTCGAAGAGGCCAAGAACGCTCACGAAGCCCTTGTTCTCGACATGGACCTACGAGGTTCTCGATTCGAGCATGCCCATCAAGAAGCCGCCACCAACGCTGCCTTCTTCGACACCGAGGACGGCAACCCCACCGCCAAAAACGCATGGCTCGAGATTCAACGCCAGATGAATGAGAATATGGCCAGGCTCGAAACATCTCTTGCTGAACTTCAACGTGCTCCGTCCGATGCAGGCTCCGCTTCAACCCGTCCGCCATCCAAGTCTCGTCGCTTGGGAAGGGGCACCAGCGCTGGCTCCAGCTTGTCCGAGATTCCCGTGATCGACCTCGCCAGCGACGAGCACAACCAGATCGACCCGACCAGGCGGTGGATCAGTGGTTTTCCTCGCCCAGTCACCGAGCCGTATAGGCGCACAGGCTTCAACCAGATGAAAAGCCGACTTCCTGCCACCATCAGCGAAGGGATGACAGGACATTTCCACAAAGTATCACCTTCAACTCCGAGCAAACGGCCCGCGACTTCCACGACTGGTTCCTCGCGAATCCCGTGACGTGGCAGGACTACCGCAACACCTCCCTTCATCCACTGCGCTGCCGCAGAGACATGCCGCTGCAAGCCCGCCAGAAGAACCGCGTCCTGAGCGCTCTCTGGCCGCTCGTCCGCAAGCGCCTCGAGAACGCAGGCAAGTGGAGCCCGTCAGTCAAGATCGGCACCAACCCGTTCAAAGGCGTGTTCAGTATCACCACCGAGAATGACCACTGGGAGATCTTCAAGTTGTCCGACGCTCCTGGAGGTATGTACGAGCTGAAGCCGATCAGCGACCAGCTCTCCGAATGGGGCATCAACGAGTCGACCGCCAACTGGATGGTCGAGCAGGCCCAGGCCTCCGTTCAGCAGTACTGAAGTGACGCCAACCCAGTATCGTGTGCATGGTTTTCGTCTTTCCCGCTTCTTCGCTGCCTCTGTCGCCCGAGTCCTCTGCCCGCTGCTCGCTTTCTCTGTCGAATGCTGTTTTTGGAGCCCAGCCACCTTCGCCTGAGAACCCAGCCAGTTCTCGCCTCTCTTTTCCGCCGTCCCTGGCCAACGGTCGAGGTATTCGGATTGCTACCTGGAACTGTCATACCCTGTTCGGCGCGGTCTCTGGGGACCACGACACTCAGGTCAAGACCTTCGATCGACTTACTAACCTAACTAGAGCAAACACTATCATTTTGTTACAGGCAATGCACGGCCATGAAGGGGATCGCGAATCGTTGCGTACCGAGTTCCCTGGCTATGAATCTTCCCGTACGTTCTGCCCCGACAGTTACGCTGGCGGGAGCACGATCATGCTTGCTCGCTCTCTTCTCGCTCTGCTTCCTCAACATCAACATGCTGTGATTATTCCTGGGCGTCTCCATGCCGTCACTATCCAGTCCGACTCTTTCTCGCTTGCCATCTTGAACCTCCATCTCGACCCGAGTTGCCGTCACAGAGAGAAAATAAGGATCCCTTGCTTGTGCGCCAAGTTTTTGCATACGTTCCAGGGCCTCTTCTTCTTTGTTGTAGACTTCAACTTTTGCGAGCTGGGCGAGGGCGCCCAGCGAGTAGACGGCTCTGTGCAGATCAACAGCCCCGACTCCCTCGCTCACAAGTTCTGGTCTTTATTGCCCAACGTTATGGAATGCTACCAAGAGAATCCGACCCACCACGCCACTCGGAATGGGAATGTGGTTAGCGTATCCAGGATCGACCGTATTTATGCCAATGTGCTCACTGGGGATCTCTTGGATTTGAAGCCGACCTCTGGGACCTCCTGGAATATCTGTAAAGCCGACCTCCCGAGTGACCACGCACCGGTGTACCTGCATCTGAATGGAGGCGGAGACAACCGCTCTCGGGCCGTCGCCTCGCGGGTCTCTCGTCACCCTCTGTATCCGATCCTGCTCGAAAAGCTGATCAACGAGCACGGGGTATGCGAAGATCATCCGCCGCTGATGGTTGAAGAACTCACGTGTCTTATGCACGAAGCAGGCCGTCTTGTTCAGCATCGCCTTTCTGAGCTTCCGCCCAGCTCCGCCGAGCAGCATTTGCAGTGGCTGTTCGCGGTGAATCGCGCCATGCGGAGCCGCGAGATAAGCACGCTGAAGAAGGCTGTCAAGGCCATCCCCGTGCTGGTCAACTTTCTCGACCCTGACAGTGGCAGGTGGCACAGCCAGTCAGCCTTTTCAAGAGTATATGGCCAAGATTGCTGCCGCTTGGTACCAAAAAGACTATGAGGAAATCATCGGACATACCACGGAATCCCCCCAGTTTTATGGGCACCGAGCTGCACGTCTTCAGAGATTGGTATCGGCCTGGTCTCCGAAGAATCGGAGAATATTCCTCGCGGGCATCGCGGATGCCGATGGGAACGCTTTCCCGACTGCTGAGGCTGGGGCTCATGCTCTCGCCGCTCACTGGAGCCAAGTTCATGCCTCTGTTTCATCTCAGATTGCCGCGAGGGACCAGCTTGAGGAACATATTCAAAAAGTGAGGGAGGCCCAGATTTGGAGGCTTTCTGAAGAGCAGTTTTACGGAGTTTTGGATCGGCTTCGCGATTCCGCCCCTGGCCCTGACGGGCTATGTTACTCTGCCTGGTCCAAGGGACATTTATTCGTTAGGTGGGCCGCCTTCGCCATGTGCCAGCATATCATGGATTTCGGCCAGGTTTCGGACGATTTCAACCTCAGTAACTCGGTCTTCCTCCCCAAAGGTTCCCTGGGCCGCGACGGGTTCGAGCTCTGGGGGGCCCTTGAAATGGCCCGTCCCCTCTCCCTCTCCGACTCGATCAACAAAATTGTCGCTGTCGCGATCAACTGCCGCCTGAAAGAGGTTTGCGTTGACGCCGCTATTGGGATCCAAAGGGGCTTCGTCGAACACCGTGACATGCTAGACAACCTGATTGTGTTTGAGACGCACATGGTCGTAGGAGCAGGCCTGCTGTGGCGACAGACTGCAGGCGCTATCCTGCTGGACATTAAGGCCGCCTTCCCCAGTTTATGCCATGATTTGATATTTCCGTATTCGAGAATGAATTTCCCAGAGTTTGTGCTGAATGCGATAAAGACGCTCTATGCCAAGGTTACCACCATTCTCCTGGGCGGGGTGTCTCACTGCTCTTTTCGGATCCTCCGCGGGATAAAGCAAGGATGTCCACTCTCGGGAAGCGTGTTCGCCCTGGGGTTCGATCCGGTTTTACGCTTGCTCTGTCTTCGGCTGCCCCGTCGTGTCCACTTGCACGGCGCCTTCGCCGACGAGATTGCTTCCGCCGCCTTTGACATCTACACGGCCGTGCCTATTTTCATGAAAGTTATGATGCTTGCAGGGCTCGCCGCTGGACTCATCCCGAACCTCAAGAAAACGGCGATATTCTTTTACCGCGACTTTAACAGGGAGGAGGAGCAGAGGAAGTTCCAACTGCGGGGGATCAGGGTTCGGAGCTTCGGGATGTCCAAGTGTGCCAAGTATCTTGGAGTGATGTGTGGGATCAGAGCCCAAGAGGAATCTTGGGCCGCCCCATTGGTCAAGTTCCGCGACCGCTGCCGCCTCATTAAGTCTTTGAAGTTAGGCCTGTCGATGTCTCTCGTGGCGTACAACCAGATAGCAGTCACTGTGCTCATGTACATCGCCCAGTTCTCTCCGCCCACGGCCGACTGCTGCTGGCAAGTGCATCTCGGTCTGCAGTCTTTAACATGTGCTCCTCGGCATGCCCTTTCTGATCACATGCTGGTGGGAATGAAGTCTCTCGGGGGATAGCTGTCTCGGGCCAGGTCTCTCACGCGCGAAGCTCGGGCTGCTGCATATCGTGCTACCTTCGCCTCGTCGGTCTTTTTCGCCTGCGTCGAGCAAATTGAGGACGCGTTCGATGACCCCGAATGCCACCTGGATGCTCATCTTCATCCCGTTTATACCAAGTCTTTCGTTTTAATGATGGCCCAGAACTATCGTGAGTTATCCAGAATCCCGTCCGCCCCCACTGTCTTCGAGCATGGGCTTCAGAAGAAAATGACCAAGCTTGTTCTCTCACATCAACCCCTGGTTCCGTTTCCAGAGCTGATCCTGAGGCGTCTCCAGTACTGGGCCTCGAGGTTTCCTGAAGTTGGCCAAGGTGGGGCTCCCGAAGCCCAACTGTGTTTCTCTCGGCTAAAAGTGGTCGGCCAGCATATTGCTCCCTTTGTTCAACTCAGTCTGTTGCCCACTATATGTAATGCTGGGAATACCTCACGGAGATACCGCCGGGCCACTCTGGGATGCAGGTTTGGATGCCAATGTATTGCTGGCGACCAGATCGTGCGCTATCTTGTCTGTCCAATTCTGCTTGGAGTGATGCGTGCCAATCTGCCTAGGCTCCCACCGTGGTGGGGGGCGGAGGTGTTTGCTGGGTTCCTTTTTTTTTCTATGCCTCTCTCGTGCGAAGAAATCGTCTCCATTGCCATGGCACACGATGTTCTTTCAAACGCGTTTAATAAGCTCAGGTCCGAGGGGGCCCAAAGCACTTCGCGAGCCATGCGGCTTGCTGCAGGCCGGTTCCGCCTTATATGCCGACGGGGTGCCAGGGCGAGGTCTCTGGCGCGGCGATAGGGCTTCTGGCGGTGTGGGCGCCTCGGATGACCTGCCAGATGGGGTCGGGTGTCCTTCTCGTCCTCCTTCTGGATGGAGACTGGCGGGAGGGATAGGGGAGACGGTCTGGCCCCGCCCGAGCGGTCGGCCAGGGCGCCGCCTACGCTACGAGTCGGTGCGCTCCGATTCGCCGGCACGGCCGCGGCCTCGACGATTGGCGGCGAGCGAGGGGGGGAAGTGAGAGGGGGCGGGGGTGCTCAGAAGGCTCGGAAGTCCTTCACCATTCCGAGAAGTTTTCGCGGCCTTCCCTGGACACACGGACAGCTTCTGAGAAGGCCCGAGGCCTCGGAGAAGCCCCGCCGCCTTTTGAGAAGGTCTTCTGCTTCTAACTTCCGCATCTCGCTCGCCGCCAAGATGAAGCTCGAGTCGCTTCACCTCGGAGGACGCGTAGTGTCGAAGACGAGACAACGGCATCAACATAAACTTTGAGCGCTCCGAGCGGATTTCTTGGGTTGGCGCTCGGCCCCCCCTGGCGGCGCCTCTGGCGCCGCCCCTGGCGCGCTCCGCGCGCCAGGGAGGGGGGCCCAGCGCGGACCCACGAAATCCGCGCGGAGCGCCAGCAGTTTATGTTCATGCCGTTTTTTATTCTTCGGCCGGAGCCGGGCGCGTCGGAGGACGCGTAAGGAGGGGCAGCGAGGGCTGCAGAAAGGGGCCTTTGAGGGACCCGGAGTGGGGGGCTTCAGGGCTCGAAAAGGGCACCTCTCTCCCCCCTCATTTGTCACCCCCATGAATCCGCGCCTCTGCTTTTGAGCGTCGCTCCGCCGAACAAGGGATGACGAGGAGGCGGAGGCGGGGGACGCGGCGGGCTGACGAGTGCCTCCTCGTTCTCCTCGTCGCAGTGCCCAGGCGCGCCCCAGTCTCGACGGGGAAGGGGGGGGGGCTCTCCGACGTCGGCGACGGGAGCCCTGTCCGGGGGGCGCAGTGAACCAACGGTCGGGGAACGTGTCTTCGGGAGGGGGAGGAGGAGGAGGAGGAGGAGGAGGAGGAGGAGGAGGAGGAGGAGGGGAGGAGGAGGAGGAGGAGGAGGAGGAGGAGAGGAAGGGAGGAGGAGGAGGAGGAGGAGGAGGAGGAGGAGGAGGAGGAGGAGGGAGGAGGACAAGGAGGGGGAGGAGGAGGGGGAGGAGGAGGAGGAGGAGGGAGGAGGAGAGGAGGAGGAGGAGGAGGAGGAGGAGGAGGAGGAGGAGGAGGAGGAGGAGGAGGAGGAGGAGAGGAGGAGGAGGAGGAGGAGGCGGAGGGAGGAGGAGGAGGAGGAGGAGGAGGAGAGGAGGAGGAGGAGGAGGAGGAGGAGGAGGATTGGAGGAGGAGGAGGAGGAGGAGGAGGAGGAGGAGGAGGACGAGGAGGAGGAGGGTGCGTGGAGGAGCAAGAGCGGGAGGAAAGCAGGACGATGAGTTGGATCAGAGGGATAGGTGGAGATGGATCGAAGGTGGAAGGGGATACGGATGGAAACGGGTGACGAGGAGGAGGATAACCAATGAATGTTAGTACTATAAATGTTAAGAAAAGGATACTACTGAGAAGGGTCAGGGGAAGACGAATAGTATCAAGAGTAACATCAACATCAATAGCTGTAATATTATTCAACTTGCTAAACATGAGGAGACGAAAGAGTAGTACATCGGATGAGCAAAGGAGGAGGCGGACGGGGGGAAAAGACGGACGGGGGAACGTGAGCAAACGAAACAGGCAGGAGGACGAGGAGTTGCTTTCCCCTTTGGCCAAGGAGTCAGAGGCCGTCCAGACGCCTGCCAACGGCTACGCCTCGCGCGCTGATATTCCCAGTGGCTGCGAGCTGGAGGGGCCTCCGTGGGGTCCTCATCCCCCCCTCTTTTTTTCGCTCGTTCCTCATCGCTCCTCGCTCCCTCCTCGCCCAGGGGCGGTGCAGCCTGGGTAGTGTTCAGGATCCCTTGCTTGCTGGGTGTAGGATGGGCGGGTCAGGATGTAAGAATGTGTGCAGGACGGATGTAATAATGGTCTGTTGCAGGATGGGCGGGGTGGTTGTTTCGAATGGTCGTGTGGGTACGCCCACAGGAAAGAGAAGGTGTAGGACGACATGGGCGTGTGACGGGCTGTGGATAAACGTTTGCTGGAGATGTGCTTGTTTTTGTATGAGGGCATGTGGATCTTGATAAGGAGTACATCATGCATAAGCTGCGTAGCACTTTAGGATGGATGTCGTGCAACGTGGGTAGGGATAACCGCTTTTCAACAGGTGTAGTACTGGCACGCGGAGGTGTTGGATTCTCGTGTGGGAGCTTTTACCTTGAGGGAGAACGGTGTAGGATAGTCTGGGCGCTTGGCGGACGCCTAATGACTGGTTTATTGCTGTGGGAGGGTGCGGGATGATCTATATGTGTGTGTGTGTGTGTGTGTGTGGTTGTGACGGGGGTTTGCCCTCTGGGGCCTCCTGGGGGTTAGGGCCGAGGGCTCTAAATGTCCGTCCGGGCTCCCCGTCTGGGCCTCTCTTGGAGCCGTCTTGGGGGCTCATTGGCCGTCTTGGAGGCCTCTTGGGCCGTCTTCGGGCCATCTTGAGGGCCCCTTGGGCCGTCTTGGGGCGGCCTTCGGCGCCTGCTGGGCAGTCGTGGGACACCGAATGCGATAAGAACGTCTACATCTTGCAAACACCTCAGGTAGATCAATGAATGTTGGTTCTTCGGGCTCTCTTCCGAGGCCTCTCGGAGGTCTGAAGGCGTTTCGAAGGCCGCCTGGGCCGTCTCGGAGCCACTCTTGGGCATCTTGGAGCGAGCGTTCGGCGAAATTGGAGTACCCTTGGAGCGTCTTGGGACCCTCCTGGAGCTCTCTTGACCCGTCTTGGAGCTTTCCCGGCAGCGAAGCATCCTTGCGGGAACACGCCCCAGGCCCCAGGGGGCTGCGCGGGGAGCCCCGGGCGCCACGCGGCGCGCCCTGGCCGATCTGGCAATTTCGTGTCTGGGCCCGTGTGTTTTCTCCTCCCCCTTCTCTGCGTAATTCAAGCTCTGCGCGGCCCGCTTAGCTTCGACCGGAAGAGGTGCGCTCTCGACCCGCGAATCAAAAAAGTGTCTGGGCCCGTGAAATATTCCTAAGTGTTGGGAGCTGAGGGCCCAGGGGAGCCAACCGCGGGCCTGAGGACACTCCAGCTCGTGCCTCAAGGACACGGTGACGGATACGTAGTTGTACGTGTCTATGTTTATGTTGGGGCATATGCTTTTGATGCAAATCGGTGCAGGTGAATGTGTGTGTGTATATGTGTATATATATACACATGCTGTGTTTCGGCAGGTAGTTACATTATTGTCCATCTGCATAGTTACGTGCGCATATATGTATATATGCACAGCTTCACGTAAGCGTGCGGCTTTCATGGTTATTCATGTTGCGTATTGTATGAGCCTACGTGTTTGTGCATGGGAATATTGGTGCATTTGTATTGTCCGTGCTTTGGTATGTGCATATGCATGTGTAAACTTTGGGTGCATGCATGCAGCTCTCTCTCCTTGTGTATGCATGTGCATGCAAAGATATATGCATAACTATTGACCTGCATGTGTGTATGTTTGTATGCAAATATGCGCATATACACAAACACACACACACATATATATATATATATATATATATATATATATATATTTATACACGCATAGGTAAGTGTGGTTATACGTAAGTGTATCCGTATGCGTAGCCTTGTATGTACACGTACGTATACAATTACATGTATGTTCGCAAACGTACATTTACATGCCTTTTTTGTCCGGAGTTTGGCTTGCCTAAGGGGTTCTTATTTGGTCCAATGTTGGTACCTACTAGTGTTACGTTGCCCTTTGCTCGGAGGTTCCCTGGGTTCCCCATGTTTCCTTGGTTCCCAAGCCAATGCCGAGCAAAACCAAGCAATGCCAAGCAATGCCAAGCAATGCCAAGCAATGCCAAGCAATGCCAAGCAATGCCAAACAATGCGCCCATGCAATAGGAAGCTTTCACCTAATTGCGGTCGTGCTGGGCTCATTTTCACATATGTATATATATATATATAGATACACACGGTTCTTGGTTTTGACGTTGCTCTCCTTGCCCATCTTCTCCCACGTTCATTCTTCCTTCTACCTTGTGCTGCTGCTGCTGCTGCTCCTCCGCCTCCATGTCCTGCAGGAGGAGGAGGAAGAGGTTGGAGGAGGAAGCGAGGGAGCAGGACGAGGAGGGATAAGAGGCTGTCTGGCAACACTGGAGTCGAGGCATCCGCACGCCCATCCTCCAATCAGTGCGCCCCCGTTCGACCCAGCCCCGGGGGGAGGCTCCGGCCCAGAAGGTCGCGAACGACGGGCGCTGCTTGTTTGACGACCAGTGCCAGAGCGGCTTCTGCTGTCCGTACTGCCGGTGCTGCCAAGGCCAGCAGGTGTTGGCAGCTTCGACCCTGCACGCGCGGCTCTTCCTCTGCTCCGCACGCTGCTGGCCTTCGCCATCTCGTGACTCTTTGTCGTCGCTTCGTTTCCCTTCCCCCATTCCTCTTCATCGCTCCTGGTCCTTCCCTGCCATACCGTAGGGCGCGCCTCAAGAAACTATCTTTCTCGTCAGGGTACCCTGGGTTTCTTCGCTCCGCGCGCTGCGCGGTGACTTCTGCGGCCGTCAGAGAAGCTGCTGCGTTCAGGGTACTCCGTGTTTTCCCTCAGGTGCACCTCGCGCGCGGGTTTTCAGGGCTGAGTTTCTTGCGAGGGTTTCTTGCGGCCGCGCCCGCACTGTATCCAGGTCCCGACGGCAGGTATGTGCCCGTTGCCGTTGCACGCGAACTGTCAATTCAGCTGCGCTGCCCTCCGTCCACCATCCCCTCCTCCTCCTCCTCTTCCTCCTCCTCCTCCTCCTCCTCCTCCTTCTCTCCTCGTCTTCCCCTTCTCCCCCCTCCTTTCCCCTCCTCTCCCTCCTTTCCCTCCTCCGCTCCCTCCTCTTCCCTCTCCCCCCCCCCTCCCCCCTCCTCCGCCTCCTCCTCGGCCCTGGGGAGGTTGATCAAACTAGAGCCTGGTGACCATTGGAGCACCGCTCCAAGGGTCACCGGCTAGCCCGTATCTGAACGTGAAGGTGGATGTAACAAAGCAGAGGATGACAGATCGAGGAGAAGGAGGAAGAGGGGGAAACCAAGTCATAGCCTCGGAGGGGCGGAAAGAGGAGGAGGAGGGGCGGCTGGCTGTGACGGCAGTGGCCGTGGCAGAGGCGCGGCAGCAGAGGGTGGCAAGGTAGGGGCCCAGGGGCCCTATGCCCGGTCCCCATCCATTCGGGTCGACCGGCCTCGTTCGGCTGGCGCCCTCGGGGGCGCCCTGGGTCCCCCTCCGCAGAGGTGCCCAGTTTGGAGGCTGAGGACGGGGGGAGCCAGGCGGCCTTCGACGCAGCTGAGGTAGAATGGGCAAATAAGGAGAAGCACAGGCGTCGATGCTGAGCGCGAACGTGTGGGCAGTGCTGCAAGAGAGGGAGCATTGCGTTCCTCGGGTGCGTGGGTGCCCCGGTGGCGGCAAGGCAAGTGGCATTAGTGCAGCTACTGCTTTAGACAGTAGAGGTGGAGGTGAGAGGGTGGAGGTGTATTGGGCCAGTGTGCCGCTGATTAAACAGTGGAGGCGTGGTTGAAGCCATGGAGTGTGGGAGGTGGCTAGTAGGTTGGCTGCGTGCTGGCGGTGTGGCGGCGGAGGTGCCTGTCCACGCCCGCCGGCGTGGAAGACAGAAGGGCCTCTCCCTCTGCTCATAGGAACCCCCCACAGGCGTCCACTGGTTCAAAGGCGGGCACCCTCACCTGTGACCAGGCGTAGGGTTCCCAGCACATTGACCCTGGGGCCGCCTGTGGGGGGGGGTTATCGAGCGTGAGGGAGGTTTGTGCCCTCTAGGCGATGGCGGGACCTTCCCCTCTCGCCGAGAAGGGCAGGTGGCCACTCTCGCCCGGGTGGATAGCATAAGGGCCTCTCCCCCTGCACATAGGACCCCCCCAGAAGCGTCCACCATCCGCGTGACTGGTACCCTCCCCTGACCAGGAGGAGTAGGGTACCCAGAGCACGAGAGTGGTGGCCGATTGGGAGGTTTCCATCGTGCTTGGGGGAGGCTTATGCCATCCTTGCCGGTGGCACACAGTAGGTCTGTAGTGCCCCATACACAACCGTAAATACCCCACCCCACCTCCTTGAGTGTTTGTTGTGCAGGCAGCCGGTGGCTGCATCTGCCTGAAACTTGAAGGTGAGAGTTGAGAAAGCGTGGTGCTGAGGGTGTAGCTACAGTTGGAGCGGGGGGAGAGGGGCTGCGAGAAGGAAACCAGGAGGGAGTGAAGGTTGGAGGTTGATGGAGCCCTCTTTCAGCAGACGCGTCGGCTGAAATAGCATAGCTTGTGGGTGAGAAAGCCCCGCAGGGAACCACTGCGTATCATATCTGATGTGCGCGTAGTCGCCGTGTGCTGTGGCCTGTGGGCGTTAAGTTTCTGCTGCCGTCGGAGAGATGGGTCTGGAGTGTGAGTATCCGGCTGTGCTGCTGCCGATCTTTTCGGTGAGAGCGTACTGTTAGGCAAGAGGATAGTGCCCAGGCGTGGTGTAGGAAGGTAGCAGCTTGTGAGACATCTCCTGTTTGTCATGGATCACAGTGTTGCAGAACTGTGCACGGTGAGGTAGGTGGAGATGGGCGCACTGACGGGCCGCTGCAAGGCCGGTCCCATCAAGAGGCGTAAGCCTCGTGGTTTCGGACGATCAGGGCGGTGTCTCCTTGTCTGCCGTACTTGTCTCGTATTGGTGGTCCTTCCCGTATTGCTGGAATTCGGCTTCGAACGGTTGCCAGGGCCCCGAGCCGCCGTCAGCTGTGGTCCCAGCGTCTATGCTGGAGCCGTGGACCTGCTTGTCGTCGTGCCCTTCCCTTGGTGGTCTTGTTGGTCGCCTCGGGCTGCACGTGATGTCTGTCGACAGGGGGGCACATCTGCGCCCTTGGTTGCTGGCCTTCGTGGAGCTCCCCGTCGGCACGGTCTGGTGGCTGCTGCCAGCCATCTCTTGCTGTGTCCCTGGTACGGGGTCGCTGTGCTGGAGCATGCCAGTCCCCAGTGCTTCATTTCGCAGCGCTTGCTGAGCTGCGCGCTGTTGGTGCCATGCCGTGTAGTCTTCTGGAGCTGCGCTCCACTCGTGGAGCCCGTTGGGAGCTCCGTTGTGGTTCGGCTCCTCGTGCCGCATCGGATGCCCCGGCGTGGGTGGTTCAGGGTGGTGCGATTCGGTCTGAGGGTCTTCTTGCAGGTTGGTCGTTACGTCGGTGTTGGGTTGAGCAGAGTCGTGGTCCGTTTGTGGCTGCGCTGTGGGTTGCTGCTCGCTGTGCCAGTCGTCGGCCGCGTCGTTGGCATGGGGGTCGTGTGCGTTGATCGGCTCGGAGATTTTTGCACTGCTGTGGTCGCGGTCATGCTCTGGAGCCGCGTGGATGGGAATGGCGTCGGTATGGATGTCGGGTGGTATCGTGTAGCCAGCATGATGGGCATGAGCATGCTTCGCCGCTGAGCAGCCACGGCAGGTGGCGCAGGCAGGTCGTCGGACTCGTCGTCGCTCTGGTAGGTCAGCATCCTTGCCAGCTGGCGGTCGACGAACTGGGCGAGGAGAGTCCGGCGCCTGGTCGTGTGGGATAGGCGTGCTTCTCGTAGTCCGCCGCCCCAGAATCCGTAGTGCAGCGATACCTCCACTTAGGTCATGACCTGGTCGTACTCGAGACGGACGTTGGAGTCCACCCCAAAGTCCAGGTCGTGGCGGTTGCCAGCGTTGCTCATGTTCGCGTCGTCGCCTAAGATTATCTTGTGTGCCTGAATCGTGAAGGCAACGGATTCGCTGCCGTGTTGTATCATGCTGATGTTGTTGGTTAGGCGCTCGATCAGGTCCTGATGTCGTTCGCTTTGGCCAGCTCCAGATCTCATGGCTCATGGCGGGTGTCCAATCGGAGGGTTGGCCATCTGGAATACCGTGTCCAAGTCGTGCTGGGTGTTGGTCTTGACTTTAACTGCTGGTGCCGTGCTTGGCGTTGAAGTCGGATTGCCAGTGTTGCGGTGGGTGGTTGCAGATCCGCTGCTCGTTGGTGGGGTCAAGAAGTTCTCGTGCAGCGGCGACTTGTAGCAGTACTCGTGCTTGAGCTCGCTGTTCGCGTAGGCGACGATGCCGCGCTGGGTTGGTCAATGACGTCGTGGTGTCCTGAGTGGAAGAGGATGTAGTCGAAACGGAGTGTAGAAGGTATGGTTTGAAAAACGATGTAAGTAAAGATGACGGGTTTTCGATCGAGGCTGGCCCCCTAGGGTTGGCACATTGCCGTGCGTTTCTGGGCCCGAGGCTCCTCCTCCTTCTCCTCCTCCTCCTCCTCTTCCTGGTACTCGAGTAGTTCCTCAGCAGCGCTGCTGCACGGCGCGGCAGTGGCGCTGCTCGCTTGTCGCGATGCCTCTCTGGCCTCTTTCTTGTCGCCAGGGGCCACGCAGAGGTGGGCCCCTCGGGGCACAAAGACGCCGCCTGCCCCCTGCCCCGCGCCCCATCGGAAGCCGCACCGCGGCCAGTACAGCTGCCACTGCTGTCCTGGGGCCCTGGTGGATTTCACCCTCCTCCCTTGGATCTCTCTCCATGGCCTTGTTCGTCCTTGTTGCGCGTCGTCCTCGCTGATAGCGAGCCATTCGTTCGTCCGACGCGCGGCCCCCTCGGGATCTGTGGGTTCGTGTATCTGTGCACCACTGCGCCTGCTGTGTGCATCCCCCAGAGTTCGTTGCCGCCACTGCAGTCACGACCTACAGCCGAACCTGTGTGTTTCATTGTGTGCTCTGTGTCTCGGCTCTCGGGAGAGTGGGCCTTCCCCGGCACTGATCAAAGACTTCCGCATGTCTCGGGGGCCGACTCCTATGCACCACCACCGCCCCCCCGCAGGGGGAGGATGAGCAGGAGGAAGAGGCGAGGGATGATAATGAGGACTCGGACCAGAACTATGATGATGATGTTGATTGACGACGACGATGATGATGGTGCTGATGATGCTGATGATGCTGCTGCTGATGATGCGGATGATGATGCTGCTGAGGAGGACAACAAAGTATGATGAGGACGATGAGGACGAGGCAGATAAACAAGATGACGATCACGTTGAGGTGAAGGAGGAAGAGGAACATAACAGCAAGCGCAGAAATACCATCTGTCCCAGGAGGGGATGAGCATGACGTCGATGATGATGACAACGACTTTGAATATGAACGTAAGCATGAATATCATGTGGCTGCTGCGGTTGATGATAATGATGATGATGATGCTGCTGCTGATGATGATGGCGGTGATGGTGATGATGATGATGATGATGCTGATGACGATGATGATGATGATGATGATGATGATGATGATGATGATGATGATGATGATGATGATGATGATGATGATGATGATGATGATGATGCTGATGATGATGATGATGATGATGATGAGGAGGAGGATGATGGTGGTGATGGTCATGATACTGCTGCTGATGATGTTGATTATGATGATGATGAGGAAGAGGAGGAGGACATACTAGGAAATTGAAAGGGACAAGGAGGAGGAGGAGTAACACGAAAGGGACACTGACCGCGGCGAGCGATGTGCTCAGCAGCACCGTGTGCCCGTCGGGGGAGGCTTCTCTCAGCGCTTGGGCGGAAGGCGAGATAGAGAGAGAGAGAGAGAGGCCACCCAGGAGCGCGGCTACAGATCTCCCTCCCCTTCCCTTCCCTTCTCCTCGCATTTCTTGGGATGCATGCTTTGGGAGGTTTGATTCAGCATCGTTGAGGATATACTCACTGTCAGGAACTTGTTCAACCGCGTATAATCCTGCTGATTTCAGCTTGCTCCTGCTTCATCTGGGTTCATTCCGGGTCTAATCCGCCCTGGTCTGGCTGAAGGGTGCCTCAATCGGGCCTCCCAGGATTTTTTTCCTAACATTTCCTCCTCCTCCTCCCTCCTCCTCCTCTCCTCCTCCTCCTCCTCCTCCTCCTCCTCCTCCTCCTCCTCCTCCTCCTCCTCCTCCTCCTCCTCCTCCTCCTCCTCCTCCTCCCCTCCCCTCCCCTCCCCTCCCCTCCCCTGATTAGTGCTTAGTTGTCCACCTCGGCCAAAAGGGGCCGAGACCCTGCAAGCCACGCGCTCCCGTACGGATCGACTGCGCCACGGCCGTGCGCCCCTCCCCCTGCCGGCCGCGCGGCCCTCGCGCGCCCGCGCGGCACCCTCCGTGCCGCCCCTCCGCAAGGTGGGGTCCTGGACCGACGACCCCATGCTCCGGGAGATCCTGGTGGCGCCGCCGATCGGCGGGGGCAGGAACGGGTGCGAGGGCGGCTTCTGCAAGGCCTGCGGGCAAGAGGGGGGAGCAGGGGGGGGGGGCAGGAGGAGGGAGGAAGGAGGGAGGAGGAAGATGGAGGAGGAGGAGGAGGAGGAGGAGAAGAAAGATGAGCAGGAGGAGGAAGAAGATGGAGGATGGAGGATGGATGATTGAGGAGGATGATGATGGAGGATGGAGGATGGAGGAGGATGGAAGACAAGGATGACGATGACTGGCGATGGTGATAATGATGCTGATGATGATGACGATGACGACGATGATATTGCTGCTGATGCTGATGATGATGAGGATGATGCTGCTGTTGCTGCTCATGATGATGCTGCTGATGATGGTGGTGATAATGATTTTGATGATGATGATGATGACGTCGATGCTGATGCTGCTGCTGATGATGATGAGGATGATGATACTGATGGCGATTCCGATTACGATGCTGACGATGATGACGATGAGGATGACCATTATGTTGATGATGCTGATGATGATTATGATGATGCAGATGAGGATGATGATGATGATGCTGATGATAAAGATGCTGATGACGATGATGATGATGATGATGATGATGATGATGATGATGATGATGATATCGATGATCATCATGCTGATGGTGGTGGTGATGATGATTATGACAGCATGATGTTGAGCATGGCAATGATGATGCTGCTGCTGATGATGATGATTACTCTCCAAATAGGCTTGCCCTATAGGAGTCCTAGCTCATCATAAGTCATTGGTCTTTGGGACCCTCCCTTTTTCCAATGGCACCCCCCCTTTATCCAATGGCCCCCCCCTTATTCCAATGGCTCTTGCTTGCTTGCTCTTGCGTGCTTGCTCTCGCTTGCTTTCTCTTGCTTGACCTTGCTTGCTTGCACTTGATCGCTGGCTCTTGCTTGCTTTTTATTGCTCGCTTGCGCTTGCTTGCTTGCGCTTGCTTGATTTTGCTCCTCCCGTCCTCCTCCCTCCTCCCGTCCTGCTCCCGTCCTTCTATCGGCCTCCTCCCATCCTCCTCTCATCTTGTCCTCCTATCTATTTGGAGTCAACGCTGGCTGGTATTATTATGATGACGACGATGCTGACGATGACGCTTATGATGATGCTGATGGCGATGCTGCTGATGGTGCCCCAGATGCTGCTGATGATGACGATGATGATGCTGATGCATCTGACGATGCTGATTGCGATGATGCCGACGATTGCTCATGATGACGACGATGATGATGGCGATAATGCTAATGCTGATGGTGGTGGTGGTGGTGATGTAGCTGCTGTTGCTGATGCTGATGCTGTTGATGATAATAATAATGACGATGCTGATGCCGATGCTGATGATGACGCTGATGACGATGATTATGATGACGCGGATGATGCGGATGATGATGATGCTGATCATGATGATGCTGACGCTGATGCTGATGATGATTATGATGCTGACGGCGATGATGCTGATGATGCTGCTGATGATGATGCTGATGATGGTGATGATGATGATGATGATGATGATGATGGTGGTGATGCTGCTGTTGCTGATGATGATACTGATGATGCTGATGATGGTGATGATGACGATGATGCTGGTGATGATGATGACGTTGCTGATGATGATGATGCTGATGATGTTGATGCTGATGATGAGGATGTCGATGCTGATGCTGATGCTGATGCTGATGATGATGATAATGATGATGATGCTGATGATGATGACGATGATGATGCTGATGAGGCTGATGATGCTGCTGCTGCTGATTATGATGATGATGATGATGATGATGATGATGATGATGATGATGATGATGATGATGATGATGATGATGATGATGATGATGATGATGATGATGATGATGCTGATGCTGATGCTGATGCTGATGCTGATGCTGATGATGTGATGATGATGATGATGCTCTCTGATGATGATGATGGTGGTGATGATGATGGATGTTGGTGGTGATATGATGATGATGATGATGATGATGATGAGGATGCGATGATGAGGATGAGGATGAGGAGGAGGATGAGGATGATGAGGATTAGGATATGAGGATGATGATTATGCAATGATGATGAAGCTGATGCTGATGCTGATGCTTATGATGATGATGATGATGAGTGATGGTGATGGTGATGAATGATGATGATGATGATGATGGTGTGGGTGATGATGATGATGATGATGATGATATGCTGATGATGATGGTGATGGTGATGATAAAAAAAAACAAAAAAAAAAAATGATGGTGATTGGTTATGATGGTGATGGTGATGATGAGGATGAGGATGATGATGGATGATGATGGATGATGATGATGATACGATGATGATGATGATGATGATGATGATGATTATGATGATGATGAGGATGAGGATGCTGCTGATGCTGATGAATGATGATGCTGAGGATGATGTGAATGATGATGCTGTTTGATGATGGTGCTGATGATTGTCTGATGATGATGATGAGATGATGATGATGATGATGATGATGATGATGATGATGATGATGATGATGATGATGATGATGATGATGATGATGAGATGATGATGATGATGATGATGATGATGATGATGATGATGATGATGATGATGATGATGATGATGATGACGACGACGACGACGACGACGACGACGAATCTAGCGATGGTAAGGATGAGGATGATGACGATGAGGAGGAGGATGAGGAGGAAGAGGGGGGGGAGGAGGGGGAGGAGGAGGGAGGAGGAGGAGGAGGAGGAGGAGGAGGAGGAAAGGAGAAGGATGAGGAGGAGTAGGATGAGGAGGAGGACGAGGAGGATACTGGTGACCAGGAGGAAGAGGAGGAGGAGGAGGAGGCGTAGGAGGATATTGAGGGCGGGCAGGAAGAGGGTGGGGAAGGAGGAGGGCGGGGCAAGAGGAGGGGAGGGGGGAGGGAGGAAGAGGATGGATGAGGCGGAGGAGGCGAGGAATGAGGAGGAGGATGAGAAGGAGGAGTAGGAGGAGGAAGAGGAGGAGGAGGAGGAGGAGGAGGAGGAGGAGTAGGATGGGGAGGAAAAATATTGAGGATGGACGCTGGAGGATTGAGGAGGATGATGGAGGATGGGGGATGGAGACGGAGGATGGAAGACGAGGATGATGCTAATGACTGGTGACCGTAGCCATTTTGGCTCAAGTAGCTTGTGGCTCAGTCCGTCGAGGTTGACACGGAAATAGTACAAGTGATTTGCATCAATTGTACAGCAGATTCGTAAAAGTAGGCATCTTTCGACATTCTGCTTACAATGGCTCCTGTTGGATCTGTGATGCTGCTCGTAGCGCTTCTTTTTCCCACCTGTGAGGTGCAAGCAGTGGCAGCAGGCGTGCTTAGGTTTGAATCCTTCGCAGACGCAGGCTGCTCGGAGTTGACAAAGACTGAGTACGTCAAAGCAGTAAGTGGATCTACCAATTGCTACGTCTACTCGGATGCCAACGGCGACGTGGCCACCAGTGCTTCGAGCTTCACTCTGACGTGCAACGCTGGCAATGGCGATGCCACAGAGTACGACAGTGAGAGTTGCACGGGCTCTGCCGTGTCTTCTGGGACTCAACCTTGGTTCATTGCAACTATGTGCACTGGCACGGCTGAGCGTTTCCACAGGATCGATCAGGAGCTGACGGTCCACAGCAATTACGGTTTGCCGGGTTCAACGTGTTCGAAGGCGTACTTCGCATCGCGGTGATCTGCCTCTGTCCTGGCGACATCGGCACCCGAGAAGGCCGGCAAGGGGTCGGCTTCTGAACTGGCCAGTTCTCTGCGTCTCTGCGAGGCTGAAGCGCAGCGAACCTATGCAGAGCCATCACGCTGACGACATACGGTCACGTCAAATGCAGGCTGATCAACCGGCCAAGGCGCCGGCAAATCACGCGACGACCTCAACTGTGTTAGTTACTGGCACGCATTCTAGCGGAAGGCGTGCGCCTCTTCGACGACAACAAAAAAAATAATGACTGGTGACGGTGATTCTGATACTGATGATGATACTCATTCTGATGAGGATGACGATGATGATGATGATGATGACGATGGCGACGATGATGCTGATGCTGCTAATGCTGATGATGAAGATGATGATGCTTCTGCTGTTGCTGCTGATGAGGATTATGACGATCGTGATGATTATAATGATGATGCTGATGATGACGACGACGATGATGGTGATGATGCTGACGATGCTGCTGATGATGATGATGCTGAGTGTGGTGATGATGCTGATGATGATAATGATGAGGCCGATGCTGATACTGATAACGACAACGGCTGTGATGATGAGTGGGATGATGCTGCTGACGATGACGATGACGATGAAGATGACGACGGTCATGATGACGATGACGGCGATGACGATGACGAAGTCGATGATGTCGATGAGGTTGATGATGATGATGCGGCTGATGATGCGATCGATGATGCCCACGATGATGCTGATGATGGTGATGATGACCATGCCGATGATGCTGATGAGGATGCTGATGCTGATGCTTTTTAAGGTCGACGATGCCGATGATGACGCTCATACTAATGATGATGCTGATGCTTCTGATGATGCCTCCGTTCATGATGGTGATGTTGACGATGATGACGATGCTGATTGCGATCATGCTGAAGACGATGCTGCTGATGATGATGAAGCTGATGACAATGCTGATAATAAAACTGGTGGTTGTGGTGATGGTGATGCTGCTACTGCTGATGATGAGGCTGATTCTGATGATGCTGATGATGCTGATGACGACGATGATGATGCTGTCACTGATGGTTGTGGTGATGATGATGATGATGATGATGATGATGGTAATGCTGACGATGATGATGATGCTGATGACGAAGCTGACGCTGATGAGGATGCTGGCGATTATGATACTGATGGCGAGGGTGATGATGACGATGATAATGATGATGCTGATTATGATGACGATGATGATGCTGATGAGGATCATGAGGCTGATGATGCTGATGCTGATGACGATGCTGATGATGCTGATGCTGATAATGGTGG